AAAGCCTAGAGGAGACACGTGTGAGATTAATGGGGTCTTTTTCTCAGGGGAAGATAATTTTATCTTGTTGGTGTCTCTGAGAAATAGCTGAGATTGTAAAGCAATAGCATGTTGTTCCTAACCTGTTTGGCTTTCTTTTCTTCTGTGGAACACAAAAAAGCAGATATTCTTGAAGAACACTGGGAATCAAACAACTTTAGACCACATTGGCTTTCACGGTGTGGACATTTCTCAGAATATATTCTTTTTTGTCCATACAGTGAAAGTCAATGGGGTTCAAAGTTGTTTGGTTCCCAGTGTTCTTCAAGAATATCTGCTTTTGTGTTCCACTGAAGAAATAAACGACATGAGGGTGCACAAATGATGACAGAATGCTCCATTTTGGGGGAGATATCCATTTAAAGTGTGATTTTTCTCTTCTATAGGCAGAGTAGGATCCACAGGCGCTCATGGTGAACGGGTTCGACTCTCCTGTGAGCTTCTACTGAGATGTATGAGCATGAAACAGAAGGAGGTTCTCTCAACAAACAGTCTTTGCTTAGACAATGACTTCAGTTCATGGTCATGCACAAAGACACACATAGAAAACACACACACATATATACACGAATGCATCTTACCTCTCCTTTAGCTGGAGAAAAGCAGTGAAAGAATCGTCCTATCAACTAGATCATCAGTAAGAGGGGAAGAAGAGAAGAGCGGCTGATCTAACCGAACGTCACGCACACGTTCATGCTTCAGCTGTGTGTCTGCTGTTATTCTGTTTAACCACTACATGAGATGATAGATGACATGAAACATCATCTGTGTGTGAATATCGGCAGAAGAGCTTCACGACTGCGGCCACATTCACTGAATCCAATTAAACCAGCCATATTATAACAACACGATGGATTCAAACGGCCTCAAGAGGAAATTAAGGGATGCTTTATTAGCAAAATCAATTGAATCACAATATATAAACTGATCAATCACCAATCATCCATGATAAATCTGATTTTGGAAATTCATAAGATTCAACATAAAATGCAACTTTAAGATGAATCTTCTAAAGCGTTCATTAATCTTAGTTCAAGTTAATTCCAACATTTACTGATACATTATTAAAATCAAATATTGTATATTATTATTTACTTAACCTCGGCTAACATGAACTAACAAGGAACAGTTGTATTTTTATTAACTAATGTTAACAAAGATTGTGAGCATTGTTAGATAATATTAGTTAATGCACGAACTAATGGGACCTTATTGTAAAGTGTTAACAAAAATACGTTGATTATAAACTACTGAAGATTTCAAAAAAGACTGATGCGACACATTCTGCCAATATTCAGAAATTATTCTTGAATTCTTTAAATTTATAGACTTCATCAACTTCAACTATACTGACTATTTGGTCACATCTTTGCTATAAAACCCACCCAAACTCTCTGTTATGTGTGTGTTTGTCTCTATCTGGTTTGTGACGGTCGATTGTGACCCAGTACGACCGGCCCGAAGCAGAATCAGATTCATTCTGACTGAGCTGAACATCTGACAGATCGACTGACACCAGAAACAATGACAACGATTAACACTGAACACTGATTATTAACGAGTCACTCGTCAGTGAGAGGGTTTGAAAGGCCGTCGGTCTGTGTGTGTGTGAGAATACAGACACACATTTACATGCAAAACATTACTACTCAGTCACTTAAAGAATAGAAAAGACTTATATCAGAAATATTAAAGGAATAGTTCAGCCAAAAATGAAAACTTGCTGAAAATGTGCTCACCCTCAGTTCATCCGAGATCAGGATGAGTTTGTTTCTTCATCAGATTTGGAGAAATGTTAGCACTGCATCAGTGTCTCAGCAATGGATGCTCTGCAGTGAATGGGGACTGGAGTGCTGTGGATTACTTGTGGATTATTGTGATGTTTTTATCAGCTGTTTGGACTCTCATTCTGACGGCACCCATTCACTGCAGAGCATCCATTGCTGAGACACTGATGCAATGCTACATTTCTCCAAACCTGATGAAGAAACAAACTCATCCTGATCTGGGATGATCTGAGGGTGAGCACATTTTCCGCACGTTCATTTGTGGGTGAACTGTTCCTTTAAGCCTCACCGTGTGCACACGGCTGTGTCCAAACACACGTGTGTTCTGTGATTAGACTCCATCATGATCATCATGCCATGAGCTGAGCTGCATTACGACACATAATGAAATGCTCATGCAGTGTGTGTTAGGGTGAGTGTGTGTGTGTGTGTGTGTGTAAGTGTGTGTGTAAGTGTGTTTCAAGTGTACCTTTGCATGATGAAGGTCGACTCCATACATAGACAGTTTCTTTACATTCTCCAGAAAATGCATCTCAGCTTCAGCCGGCGTCATTCCTCTGAGAAACACAAACACACACCGCATCGGAAAGTCTGAAATCATTCGCATTAAACTTCCTAAACCTAACCACCTAACCACTGAATCCGTGTGAAATCACAGGAACGCAGAAGAAACAGAATGAGATTCACTTGTAGTTCTTGTGCAGGTCCATGATTTTCTCCTCCATCTCTTTGGTCTGATGAGGCGCGAAACGAAACTCGCTGATGTAATCGGAACCGTACTCATCCGGGTCATAATCGCCCAGCTCCGACTGAACCGTATACGAACCCAGAACCGTGTGTGTGGCGAACGAACACGGCAAACGACCCGATACGATATCATCCCGCAGCTGTAAACACAGGTAATATCTGAAACACACACACACACACACACACACACACACAGTGAGAGAGAGAATCATTAGTCCTTTCTAAGTTCACTTTGCATTATTTAACATTTTCTTTATTTTCCATCACTGATATTTCACCTTTTTTTACACTATTTCTTATTTATATGGCAATTTTTTTTTTTTTATATGTGACCCTGTAGCACAAAACCTTAACAAAATAAGGGTCAATTTTGTGAAATTGAGATTTATACATCATCTGAAAGCGTGCTTTTGAGATGTGTTTGTGATATTTTGAATGCAGTGCTTCGTTTTTGCAAGAGTTGTGAGGTATTTTGCATTTCGTGTGTGCAGTTCTTGGATTTGTGTGTAAAGTTTTGAAAATGTGTGTAAGCAGCTGAAAAAAACTGTAATACTTAAGAACATTAAAAAATTAGCACTTCCTTGTACTCAAGTAAAACTTTGAATTACTTGAGCAAAAGTAAGAAAGTACTAGATTTCTAATGTAATTAAGTATTAAATGATATTTAATATGAAACGCAGTGCAGTAAAAGTACAATATTATGCTTTGGAATGTTCTAAAGAAAAACACTAATAAAATACAGACACTTAAAAAGTACTTTTAAAGCAGAGTAAAAATACTTCACTACTGTCCGCCTCTGATTTTAAGGAATATATTTTCCAAAACATATTTCGTTTAAACTAAAAATATAATACAAAACGTACCAGCAGGGTTATTATAATTAACTACAATTGAACTTAAAATTAAAACCATTAAAAAAAATTGTAACTTGAAATTAAATATATAAAACTCTTGGCTAGTGGCCAAGGCATTTTCATTTAGTTTAAACTGATGTGCTAAAATTACTAAAATTGAAATAAAAGCTATATAGCTACACAGACAATTATTTAAAAAACAAACACTACTAAAAATGACAAAAACACACAACAAAGTTACCAAAACACTAACTAAAAATTAAATAAATAAAAATCGATTAGAAATATTAATAAAAACAGAGCTTCACTTCAATGAACCTGAAAAACAACAGAACGACATAAAAAAGTTATTATTTTTTATTCTCACCTAAAAGAATTGTTTAAAGAACTATACGAATAAATAAACAAATTTGATTTTAAAAAGACTAAAATATATTCAAAAGGTAAATATATTTATATTAGCTATATATTTTCCTGATATATATTTTCACATTGTTCTGCTTTAAAATACATGATAAAAGCATTATAATTATAGTGTTATATTAAAATGTGGCCATGGATGGAGATTATTTCTCTCAGTCTCTGACCTGGTGATGTCTTCAGACAGCAGCGCTGGCTCCGGAGGGTAAAACTTCACGTTGAATGAGAAATTCCAGGCGACGCCTGAAACAAAAAACAATCACAAACACAGTGAGTCGCCCGAACGGAGAACACACGGATCGGACAGATGTTTATTTCCAGAGCGTTTCACCTCTGATCTGCTTCTTCAAGTCTTTGGAAGGGTCCAGCCAGTTCTGAAACGAAGCGTTCAGATGAGTCACGACTCACTGAATCAGTGTTCACTGAATCGATATGAACGGAACTGTACCTTCTGATTCTCCACGTCACGGAATGTGACAGCAAAGTAATCTTTCTCCAGAAGATTGAGATGCTCGCAGACTTTGTCGAACAGAACCTGTCCTTTATCACGCTTCTGCAGAGAGAGACACAAACTCAACATACTACAGACTACATAACAAAATCTGAGAAGAGATGAACATTCAGATTTATTTGTTCTGAAGCCTTTAAAGATTGAAGAAAAAATCAATAACTGATGAGCCGTTTAAATATGGATGTAACTGCTGCTGTTTTCCGGCAAAAACTAATATTAAACTCCATCTGCGTGCTCTCATCTCTCTAATGAGCTCATCGAGAGACACTCTCGAGACCATTCCCATGATGCACTCTGACTGCAGAAAAAACACAACCCTGAGAAAGAGAGAGAGAGACGGGTTTCATTAAGGCTCGTGCATGAAAGCCTTTTTTCTGTTTCTAAATCTGTTCGCAGTTGTCTGGATTCTCTAATTAAATATGCACTAATTTACATACATTTCCAGCACAGAAATCTGAAGATTGGATAAAGTCGAGTTCATAATTCTTGTCGTCATATTAAAGGTTTTTTCAGAGGGGATTTTTTTGGATTTTTCTTTTTATCACTCCATAAATCAGAAAATACTGTCAACAGACAGAAAACAAACACATTTTCACCATGTTTTTAGGAGTTAAATGTTTATAAATCAGTGTGAATGAAATATGAACAAACCTTCAGAATACAGAGAGGAATAAAACTGTAAAGTTCGCCGTTTGTAAGAGAAAAAAACTCTCTCTCTCTCAAAAAAAAATAAATAAATAAAATCTACAGATGAAAATAGATAAGCAATAAAATAAACACTTAAATGTGTGCTTTGGATGTTTTCTTTCCACTAGTCTGAAATATATGAAAGTTTGTTTCCACCACGAAATACTTTTTTTTAAAAATGTATTTCACAATTTTCAATAGTTTTTTCTTGCAATATATAAACTCGCAATAAGGAGAAAAAATGTCTGAATTGTGAGATAAAAAGTCACAATTACCTTTTTGATTTATTTTAATTATTTTTAATGGCAAATACCAAAAACAGAACTGCAAGATGTAATCTCAGAATTATTTTCTTCAGACTTTTTTCGTGCAATTCTGAGTTTGCATCTTGCAATAAAAAAGGTAATTGCGACGTTTCATCTCACGATTCTGACTTTTTTCTCAAAATTACAAGAAAAGAGTCAGAATTGAGTCAGAATTACCTTTATTTATTTATTGATTTATTTACATCTGTGGTGGAAACAAGCTTCCATAGAAAGATGACAAAACTGACCAGTGCAATAAAACAGGCTGGTTTTGGCTATAGTGTCTCGCCTTAAAGAAGCACTACGCAAAGCATTTATTTTCAGACAAAAAGTCAAAAACTCCATCAAAAACCCTCCATGTGATGCAACAGAGAGTCAATATCAGAGTGATAGAGACTCGCTCAGGTTCAGGAGAACATGTGTTTGGTGCGGTCGCTGATGGACAGATGTGTTTGTGGTCTCACCTCCACCACGCAGGTGTAGTCAGAGCCGTCCAGAAGCGCCACCTTGCACTGCATGTTCTTGGGTTTCTGGCTGATTTTGACTGGAGATCGGGTCAGTTCACACACACACACACACACACACACACAGTCACATTCTCATTCTGCTATATTTATTACAATATATACTGATAAATTGAACACTTCAATGGTATGAGAGACTGGATGCTTTCAAATGATTTCCTATTGAACTGTAAGCAAATGAACTGCAGCTCAAACTATTTCATATATGTGACCCTGGAGCACAAAACCAGTCATAAGGGTCAATTTTGTGAAATTGAGATTTATGAATAAATAATCTCTCCATTGATGTATGGTTTGTTAGGATAGGACAATATTTGGCTGAGATACAACTATCTGAAAATCTAGAATCTGAGGGTGCAAAAAAATCTAAATATTGAGAAAATCATCTTTAAAGTTGTCCAAATGAAGTTCTTAGCAATGCATATTACTAATCAGAAATTAAGTTTTGATATATTTACGGTAGGAAATACCGTAAATATAAAATAACATGTATTTTGAGCTGCAGCTCGTCATATTAATGGAGTGTTTCACTAGTTAGTTACCGTTTACCTCGCCTGAATATGTTCCTAGATTTGTCACATGTTATTTTTGGAATGGAAACATTGATATTTATTTATTTATTTTTGTAAAACATCACACTCTTGTTTGCTTATTTCAGTTAATGTTATAAAACTAGCGAGCTAAGCCAGTAGTAGTGCTGACAGTGTCGTGCAAACATGACTGAAGACGTGAAAAGTGGAGGAACAGACAAACAGATTCAACTGAGTGAGTCATTCATGCTGGAACTGCTCCGAATGATTCAAACTCGTGACTTTGATCATTCATTTCAAGCTATTCAAAAGAGCCATTCATTTAAGAATTTTGACATCGCTTGTACGTTTAGTGATGGGTGAAAAGGAGCTTTTCGAAACTCCGAACCAGTTAATCCATTGAGTCACAAAATGATTCACTTTTTTTTCACTTTTCGAAGTGCTCCAATCGGATCGCGTATCGAGAATCATTTGATTCAGATTGGGACTTCGGAGTGCGTATTATAAATCATTTGATTCAGATTGGGACTTTGGAGCACGTATCGTGGAACTACATATCGGAACTTCGGAGCGGGTGCACGAATCATTTGATTCAGATCGGGACTTCAGAGCGCGTATTGTGAATCATTTGATTCAGCTTTGAAGCACGAATCATTTTTGTACGTTTAGTGATGGGTGAAAAGGAGCTTTTCGAAACTCCGAACCAGTTAATCCATTGAGTCACAAAATGATTCACTTTTTTTTCACTTTTCGAAGTGCTCCAATCGGATCGCGTATCGAGAATCATTTGATTCAGATTGGGACTTCGGAGTGCGTATTATAAATCATTTGATTCAGATTGGGACTTTGGAGCACGTATCGTGGAACTACATATCGGAACTTCGGAGCGGGTGCACGAATCATTTGATTCAGATCGGGACTTCAGAGCGCATATTGTGAATCATTTGATTCAGATCGGAACTTCGGAGTGGGTTCGCAAATCATTTGATTCAGATCAGGACTTCAGAACGCGTATTGTGAATCATTTGATTCAGATCGGGACTTCAGAGAGCGCATATTGTGAATCATTTGATTCAGATCGGAACTTCGGAGCGGGTTTGCAAAGCATTTGATTCAGATCGGGACTTCAGAGAGCGCATATTGTGAATCATTTGATTCAGATCGGAACTTCGGAGCGGGTTTGCAAAGCATTTGATTCAGATCGGGACTTCAGAGAGCGCATATTGTGAATCATTTGATTCAGATCGGAACTTCGGAGCGGGTTTGCAAAGCATTTGATTCAGATCGGGACTTCAGAGAGCGCATATTGTGAATCATTTGATTCAGATCGGAACTTCGGAGCGGGTTTGCAAAGCATTTGATTCAGATCGGGACTTCAGAGAGCGCATATTGTGAATCATTTGATTCAGATCGGAACTTCGGAGCGGGTTTGCAAAGCATTTGATTCAGATCGGGACTTCAGAGAGCGCATATTGTGAATCATTTGATTCAGATCGGAACTTCGGAGCGGGTTTGCAAAGCATTTGATTCAGATCGGGACTTCAGAGAGCGCATATTGTGAATCATTTGATTCAGATCGGAACTTCGGAGCGGGTTTGCAAAGCATTTGATTCAGATCGGGACTTCAGAGAGCGCATATTGTGAATCATTTGATTCAGATCGGAACTTCGGAGCGGGTTTGCAAAGCATTTGATTCAGATCGGGACTTCAGAGAGCGCATATTGTGAATCATTTGATTCAGATCGGAACTTCGGAGCGGGTTTGCAAAGCATTTGATTCAGATCGGGACTTCAGAGAGCGCATATTGTGAATCATTTGATTCAGATCGGAACTTCGGAGCGGGTTTGCAAAGCATTTGATTCAGATCGGGACTTCAGAGAGCGCATATTGTGAATCATTTGATTCAGATTGGAACTTTGGAGCGGGTCCACAAATCATTTGATTCAGATCGGGACTTCAGTAGAGCGCATATTGTGAATCATTTGATTCAGATCGGGACTTCGGAGCGCGTATCATGAAATATTTGATTCAGATCGCGACTTCAGAGAGTGTATTGTGAATCATTTGATTCAGATCGGGACTTCGGAGCCCCAGATCGGGGATTTGATGTCCCACTCTGAAATGATGGTTTGCGAATCATTATTCAGATCGGGACTTTGGAGCGCGTATGGCGAATCATTTGATTTGATCATTTGATTTGAATGTTGAACTTTTTTTAACTTGAGCACTGCAGTTTTCGAGCGGTGTGTCATACATGCATGTTTATTGCACATTTACATAGAAAAATAATGGAAAAGCAGCACAATGGAATGAAAACTGCGTTCTGAGTGAACGGCAAACAGTACCTGCTCTTTCCTCACAGGTGTGCTGTGGGCGGCGGCAGGAGGAAGCTGGTTATCGAGGGGCGGGGCTGAATGGGGCGGAGCCGCACTGGCCCCCTGCTGCTCTGGTTGGCTCTCTGGTTCTGTCGTCATTTCAAATCAAACTGTGATCAGAGCAGAAACAAACGCACATGAAACCCTGCAACACGAATGGCTTACAGGCAAAGAATGACAGAATTACACTGAGCAGATCACAACAAACAAACAACAGCTTTAGCTGAACAATTCCTTTAAATAATACATCTCCAGCTGACCTTTGACCTTGAGGTCAAACTATGAACTTTACTTTGTGTAAATATGAACTTGAGCGTAAAATAAACAGAATTCTGACCAGATAAAATGACTTTAACAATCATAACCATTTCCCATGATTCCTGTTTGCCGTGACAGTGACGAATGAAGCACAGGATCATGAATATTAATGTAAGTTTGTCTTTTCTCTGTAGTGTTGAATGTTTATCTGCAGGACTCAGCTGCTTCTGCACATGTTTTGGATCACAGGCATTGTGGGAAAGACGAGAGACGGAGAAGAAGTTGAGATTTTATTTCACAAAAAAAGGGACAGTGTACATTAATCAACTTTCATGAATGTAAATGTACCCAAATTAGCCCGAAGGCTAGTTTTCATTGGTAGTCCCTTTGCCAGATATTATTAGGCCAAAAATGCACAAGATGCACAAGAAACTGTTTAACAGCTCAACAAATGCATCTGCATCATATGAATGGGGACTGATCCAGATCCAGAGAGCAGAGAAACATCAAACGACAGAGAGTGAAAGAATCCCATCAGATGAGGAAGATGAAAGCTCTTCATCACATCAAACAGAGCAAACAGGAAGCTAGCAACTGCATTTTCAGTCCTTCATTAGAATGCCTCTTTCATTTCTGTAGAGGACAAATATAGAATCTGCTGCTGAGGGACTCGTGCGTTTGTGTGTGTGTGTGTGTGTGTGTGTGTGTTACTGCATATATATATATATATATACACACACACACACACACACACACACTTTTTTTTCCAAAGTATTAGTTTTAATTAATTTTAATATGGTTGTTTCTGGCATTAATTTTTTCTATTTTGTTTGTGTGTTTGAATACTCACTGTTTGTTGCTATCCACTCCTGCTGGTCGAGGCCGTGCGGCAGGGCAGAGAGGGTCAGGAGGTCGAGATCAGTGATGCGTCTGGACAGGAAGTGATCTTTCAGGTAAGGATTG